CACACGTTCACTCAATTCTACTTCAGCGCACAACGTTTGTTTTTTTCTCTTGATTCTTGGTTTTCACTCTTCTTATTGATCCGCGTGTGTCCCCTTTTTTTCATAGATTTTCTCTCTCTTTTTTAATATGGCTGAGGGACTAAGAACAGCTGAACAACAGTGGAATTCGAGTACCTTTGGGATTGAAATGCAAACGGATGAGCTGAATTCAACGACAGAGAAAGCGGGAAATTGTTTTCTCAATCCAAATTGGGATAATTCAATGGATCAAAGTGATCCCTTCGAGTCATCGTTGAGTTCCATGGTGTCTTCTCCAGCAACATCCAATGCTGAAACTGTTCTTCCTGGCTATGGATGCAATGTGATAATCATGGAGGCAATGTCATCACAGTCTTTGATTAAACCAAACAATGCCAGCACTCCATTGAATTCAATCCCGAAGCTCAATGTTCCATTGATGGATTCACACATCATAAAAAACTTGAATCTCCCATGCCCTGGATTTGTTGAGAGGGCTGATAGATTTTCCAGTTTTGGTGGCTTAAATTCTTCACTTGGATCTCAAGTAAAATTCCCAGATTTACTTGAAGGATCTTTCGTTTCTGAAAAGATCCAAATCAATGCCAATGCCAGGAAAAGGAAATCGATTCATCGGGGAAAAGAGAGAATATTCTGATGCCAAGGTAACGCTGTAATTCAGTTCAGTAAATTACTAGGATGTTGTTTGATTTTTCAAATTCTTATAGCCGCTGAATTTCAGATTGTTGTTGAAAACGATGATTCGAATTCGAAAAGAAGCAAGCAAGATGGAGCTGATGAAGAACACAATGTTGATGGCGAAACAGAAAATGATGGGAATCGAAAGCAAAATAAGGAGAATTCAAAGGTGGCAGAGGCACCAAAGGACTATGTTCATATCAGGGCAAGAAGGGGTCAAGCAACTGATAGCCACAGTCTTGCTGAAAGAGTATTAAACCCTTGAATCAGTTATCTAAATGTATCTTTCAACCGATCGAATCGAAAGTAATTAAACTTATACTCGTCATTATCATCGTATATTATAAATTTATAACATGTATTTATGCAGGTTCGAAGAGAGAAAATAAGTCAAAGGATGAAGTTTCTTCAGGATCTTGTTCCAGTCTGCAACAAGGTAATATATGTGTCCGATGTCGATAAGTCACGCATCATGTCCGGATGTGTTTCGAACATTGTGTCGGACCATATAGAAAATTGTGAGAAATCAAATGACAACTACAATAACTGTAGGTTTACTAAATTTGGATCACATTTTGTTGCAGGTGACTGGTAAAACAGTTATGCTCGATGAAATTAACTATGTGCAGTCGTTGCAGCGTCAAGTCGAGGTAAACTGGGAACTCCGACCATCTCCGATTTCGTTTTTCGGCTTTTTTGTTGCATAGTAATACTTTCATGCTATGTTCTGCAGTTTCTGTCTATGAAGTTGGATACTGTGAATCCAGGAATGGATATAAACATGGAAGCTCTTCTATCAAAGGATGTAAGTTGAACTCTGGATATTGTTCATTGTTAATGGAAAGTCATCCGAATTTTCGAGTGAAAATATTGAATCCGTTGCGTTTTGCAGATGTTCGGATCTCACAGATCTTTACCGCTGACGTTTTGCTCGACCGATTCTTCCGCACCTCCATTTAGTTTAGGGTATCAGCACCAGCAAGGGCTGCCTATGCACAATGGCCTAACTCATAACGCAGAGACTCGGTTCTCACAGAATCTGCTGATTTCGGCATTGCGAAAAGATTGAGGATGATGATTTCGGGAGGATGATGATCTCCATAGCATTGTTCAAATGGGACTTGGCCAAAATCAGTCTCAGAACTATCAAGGTACGCAAACATATAGCCAACAACTCTGTTTCTCGAACTACTCATACCGAGGATGTGAATGTCGGATACGAATATATTTCTAGTACGGGCATGCTTGACTATTTTCGAAACGAAATGTTTGATCCGATGCAGGTTCAATGAAGGTGGAAATTGAGATGTAGTTTACAATTAGACAGAAAAGTGTCCATTTTCAGACCCTGAGTTAAGAACAAAAGAGGCCTTTGTACATAGAAGTTTTGTTAGTAACTTGTAACCTATTCAAATGGTTAAACTCGATTAATTTGAATTTCAAAATTATACATGAACTGTTTATATCGAGCGAATCACTTTTGAAACTAATATTTATCTACGATTGACTTAATTGAATCGATATGACTCGATTCAGACCGTTAGATAAGTATAGTTGAAACTGGCTATTAGCTAGCTATGTTTGTCTCTTGCCCTCTCAACTAGAGTATGACTCAAGTCGGGTCAAATATTTTATCAACTCAAATCTGATTCAGATATTTTTCTCCTCCATGTGTCATTCAAATCGATTCAGGTTTAGAGAGATTATATTTGATCCGAAATTTTAATATTTTAGATAAAAATCAACATCCGATTTGACATATATATATAATTTTTTTATTAAATAAAACATGGAATTAATTGAACAAATATAAAGAGAGATGTGATCCGATCATATATATATATATATTTTAATCTAAATTTGTATCGACATAACTTTATTCTTAAAAAAACTTAATCCAAAAATTCAAAAATAAATTAAAAAAAATCTTATAAAATCAGATCAGACCCGTCAGGTCGGTCCCATTCCCATACTCTCAACGCATTTCACCACTTTAATTAACTTGCTTCTCAAAACACTCTTCACGCATTGCACACCAAACTTCTTTCTTCATTTTATATAAAACATGGCAAAAGCACTGATCAACAGCGCAAAGACGAACAAAGAGATGCAACGTCTGGGAAAACAAGACTTATCTAATCACATTAACTCTGGTTGAAAATTTGATTAAACATATTTTTTTTACTAATTTCAGATAAATACATGGTAATATAGAATTTCGATTATTTGACTTTGAACACTCATATTCATACATAACATGGTGCTCGAACATGAGATTTCATGGAATAACAACAATTCTCTAACCACTAATATCACTTGATCCGTGCTTGATTGAACATATGATAAGATAAAAAATATTAGAAATAAGCGTAAACTATATCATTCATCCTAAACTATCTTCACATTCATATTTTGATCATTGAAATTAAAAAATTTCAATTTACTCATTCAACTTTGAACACTAATTTTTTATTTATCATTCTACCGTTTTATCTCTGATACTATGATGATATGCCATTTTTTATTAATTTTAAACTGTCATGCCAGTACTAATGAATATTTTATTAATATTATTTTTATTTTTTCCCACTCTCCAAGGTTGCTTGAAACCAAAGAAGAGCAGGTCACCGCTTCCGCCGCTCAACTATCATTCAATTCGAGTCTCCACTCTCATTGTTTTGAACACCTTTACCGCCATCATCCTTCCTTTGCTTCTTCTTGTAAGATGGAAAGCCCCGTGTAAAGACTATTAAAGATTGGATTGCCACTGCCCTTGCCGGTTGAATGCTACTGTGAGACCGAGAAAGAAAGCAATGGGATACACACAACCTTCAATCCAAGTGCTTCTCATATTCTAGTAAATATGGGCTTTGGTTGTAGATTCTAGCAGTAAAAAAATAATATATGTAATGAAGAATAACATATTTCAACTTGTTAGAATTTGTAACAAGAAAAATAACTAAAGCGATATTAACATAAAATAATTGAGATATGTATGGGAGACGAAATTTAACATAGTTTGGTTTTGTCTATCTTCACAAGTGAGATGAATAATAGTCCATTATGGATGTAGAGAACATGAGGAGTACAAGTACATGATGTTACATGTATCCCAAAACCTGGTGTATAAAAAAACTCTCTCAATTCCTATAAAATTATCTCTGTAACATAAACCCTAAGAGTTGTAGAGATCCCAAAAAGTATTGTATTTCTAATTCTATTTCTCACATTAGGTTAAGAAATTATCTCTATTTATAGAGCCAAACCTTCCATAAGAATTCTTGCATAAAATAATTACAATAAAATTCAATTTAATTATCAATTATAATTTGAATCAAAATATAACAAAACTAAACAATGATGGACGGTGAAAAAGGCACAAATTGAAATTATTTGGTTTGAACTTCGATTTGAGTTCTTGTGACTTTTGGTTTGATTCCATGAAGATCTGAATTGAGAATTGAAAAAGAAAAAGAAAAACCTTTCTTTTGGTATCTGTATCAACGTAAATGATGAACGAAAAAATATGGTGGCGTACAACGATAGTGCCATCAACACTAGATCTATGAAGTTTTAGGTGTTTTCAGGTTAAATAGACGCCAAATTTGCGTTTAAAAGGGTCATACACGTTAGATGTAAAATTTTGATAGTCATTAGACTACAACGATAGTTAGAACTGTGACCGACGTGATGCCATAATCTAGGTTCATTCAAGTTGAGAAGAGAAAAGGGGAGAAGAAGAATAATAACAAAGAAGGAAATAAGGGAAGTGAAAAGCTTTTTATTTAGATCAAAACATCGTCATTTTGATCTAAATTTGATTTTCTGTAAGAATCCAAAACTACGTCATTTTGTTGTTAGTTTTCATGTCATAACGTCATTAACTATTTAACGATAGAGTGATCGAAATAAGAGTAATTCAAAAGTTGACTAAGTAAATTAAAAAAAATTAAACTTTAATGATCAAATAAGAATGAAAAGATTAAAGACTGTTAAATGATGAATGACCTTAGAAACAAAAACTTAAAAAAAAAAAAACTCTATAAAGAGAAAAAGAAAAGAATTTAAAATAAAATCATAGTATAAATGAAAAAGATGTTAAATACTCGTTATAACGTAATTGAACATCCATGTTTCGGAACACGAATAAGATAAAAATGTTGTACAAAATAAAAATAATAATTCTCCAAAAGAAAAAGTAATGTACTGAATGAATCAACTCGTTAAAACTGACTGTTAGCTAGCCTTAATTTACGTCTCTTCAATCATTGCAAGCCACTCTTCTTCCCTCATCTTCAGTTCTCTTTCCCTCTTCCAATTTCTCTATATATCATCATCACTATCCATCAAAATGCACAAAGAAATCAAAATAAACAATGGCGAAAGCAGAGTTAACAATCATCGCACTGTCCATGTTGGCAATGTTATTCACCGCGGTTAATGGACAAGCAGCGGGAGGCATAACGGCGATCGACGCGAAGACGAGCAAAGAGGCGGAAGAATTAGGGAGGTTCGCGGTGGAAGAGTACAACAAGAAGGGTAATCAGCTGCAGTTTGAGCAGGTGGTGCAAGCCGCCCAACAGGACACCAACTACTTTCTCAGGATCGAAGCCTCGGACAAGGGGGAGAAGAAGACGTTTAATACTGTGGTTCAGGTTCAATCTGGGAAGAAGGAGATGCTTAGCTTCACCTAATTAATAACTTCATCATCTGGATTTGATGATCTTTATTAGATGCATTGCAATCGGATCAAGATCATCATACAAACACCATAATGATCATCTTCCAGATTTCTCCAACATTCAATAAATAATTTTGGTGCTGATATTGGTAATTTTTTTTTCTGCTGTAATCTATTTTTTACTTGCATAGGAGGCACATATTATCCATTTCATTTTCTTTATTTTTCATCCTAACACCATTCATGATCATTACAATCAACCAAATTATCTCAACAATAAATAATCAAACACCAACAACAAAATCAGAAAAAGAGATCGAGAAAAAGGGAAAAAAATAAAAGGTCATTGACGATCATATCAACCATTTGAAGATCTGATGGTTTGTTATATCCCCAATTTTATTTGTTAATTGTTGTTTTGTGAGTTGTATGAACTAACCAATCTATAATTTATTAAACCTATATATTGTTAATTGAAATGTTCTCACCTGTAATTGTGGACAAATTTTAGTACAAGTAGTAATAAAATAACCTAAATATGTGTTATGAATTTGTATAATCTAATTTGAACCACCAACGTTGGTGTGAGCTGGTTAACTAATGATTGTGTCTCTTTAATTCATAAAAGTTATTGAATAGATCAAATTCTAGAGACACCTCTGGAATTTTCTAATTAACAAGGAAATTAATCATTCGAACGTCTCTTTGGTTAACGATAAACTAAGAAGATATTAAGTTAATAGAGTGTCTCAAGTAATCATAACCAAAATATCTAAAAAGAGTTTAGATGATCTTAAGTTTATATATGATCAAAACATGAATTATATTCCAGGATTTAACTTGATTAGATGTCTTTTTATGATTTAAATTGACAACTTAACCTGGTCATTCTAATTGATGACTTTACGCTTAAATCCAAAGCGATAAACTATTGGCGATATTTACATCAATAAATAACAATTTTTGTTTTGATTTTTATTAAATTATAATATAATATAAATAAAATGGATGTCCCTTCTTCCCATATGTATGGGGTAAGGGGAGGTAAGATAGTAGCTACCCCAACACCAAGTTGAGAGCAGCTTCCGTAAGAGACCTCCGAATTATGAAATGCCCTCCGTGGTACAATTGAATACAATTGAACGATTTAATAATATTAAATACAATTGAACGATTTGATTTTTAATTAAAAAAAATTAATAAAAGATAGAAATAAATTTTTTTGGGGTAAAATACACAAATGGTTCCTTGATTATTAAAAGCTAATTAATGGTCTCTTGACTATAGAGCATTGCTTTGTTGAGTCTCCAACTATTAAAAGTTATAAAATGATCACCCAACTATTCATATGTTCGAAACTCGTCATTTTTATTTAAAAAATGATGACAATCTGAATTGAAAGTTAGCCTGTTGACGTGATATGATAAAATTTGATACCAAAATCTCAAACAACCATCATATCTTAGGCAACAGGTTAAAAGTCAACTTAGACTGTCATCAATTTTTTAACGAAAAAGAGTAAATTTGAACCATATGCTAGTCAAATGACTATTTTGTAACTTTTTAATAGTTGAAGGACTTAATAAAGTAATACTCTATAATTGGGGACCATTTTATAACTTGTAATATTCAAAGAACTCAAAAAAATAATACCTTATAGTTGAGGGACCATTTGTGTATTTTATCTTTTTTTAAAAAAAAATTGTGATGATTTAAAGATAATAACTATTCAAAACTTTTCTAATCAATTCATACAAGAACTAAAGATGTAACAACTTAACACGAAATTTTTAAAGAGTAACAATTCTTTTTACTAGCGATAGGTTATAGAACTAATAATATTAACATAACTGAGCGGAAACTGAGTATTAGCCTTGTTTGTCGCTTGCCCTCTCAACGTATTTCACCCCTTATTTTGCGTCTCTTCAATCATTGCACACCACTCTTCTTTCCTCATGTTCAGTTCCTCTCCTGTATTATATCATCATCATTATCAATCAAAATATACAACGAAATCAAAGCAAAAAATGGCCAAAGCAGAAGTGAGAATCCTCGCAGTGTCCATGATGATTTTGGCGATGTTCACGGCGGTTAATGGACAAACGACGACGGTGGAAGCGGAAAAGCCGATCCGCGATGCAACGGCGAACAAAGAGGTGGAAGAATTAGGGAGGTTCGCAGTGGAAGAGAACAACAAGAAGGTAATGCACTGGAGTTTGTGAAGGTGGTGAAAGCCGCCCAACGGGACACCAAATACTTTCTCATGATCGAAGCTTCGGACAAGGGGGAGAAGAAGACGTTTTATGCTGTGGTTCAGGTTCAATCTGGGAAGAAGGAGATGCTTAGCTTCACCTAATTAATATCTTCATCATTCCAATCTTATTATATGTAAATCCATTCCTTTATTAGTTGCATTGCAATCACAATAAGAAATTAAGCCACATGAGAATATGAAATTTGGTTAATAGCTCACTTGTTTAAACTTTTTTTCTATGGCATCACCAAGGCATGAACGTCAAACTCTTTAAATGGAGTAGAACGTGGAATCCCATTTTTCAACACTTGGGCTTCACTCATAACTACGACTGCACCATCATCAACATTCTCTTGTTCGAAATCTAAAATGTACCCGAAATTAAAATTACTTGGATAGGGGCATCAGAAAGCTGCTGCTGTGGGGGTAACACTTGCGGCTGAAAGTGAAGAGGTTGGAACTGATCACAGGGAGAGATTGATGCCAATGGAGTAGGTGTTGGGGTAAAATTAAAATGATCGAAAACAGTTTCTTGGCAACCAAAACTTGTAGGATTTTCTCCTAATAAGGAATCCAAAGGCTCTGGATGATAATCCTCTGGAAGCAGATAGTCATCAAATTCACCGGGACAAGTCATCAGCATATTCAAGGCATCAGGTAGAATCCCATTTTCCATCACTCCGGCTTCACTCTTAGCTACAAGTGCACCGTTGTCGACTTTCTCTTGTTGTACATCTAAGATGAACCCACCAGACGCTGTGAAAATCAAATTGCTAGAATTGACGCTCGAAAACTGCTGCGACAGCGACGCTTGCGATTGAAACTGATGATAAAGAGGCATTGATGCCAATGGAGCAGGCATTGTCCCAGCACCAAAAGATTCCGAATACTGTGGAAGCATTGAACTAGTTTGTTGTGGCATAATCGTCGCATCAGGCGAAATCCCATTTTCCAGCATTTGGCCTTCATTCTGAGCTACAACTTCACCTTTATAAACTTCCTCTTGTTCATTATCATTGTTTCCTTCAACTGGGGTTCCAGAATTTGAACTTGCTTCCCTCCTCTTATATACTCTACACAGTACATAATCATCAAGCTGAAAAAAAGAACGTCCAAAATAAGTCTCTGCCTTGGTGGAGCTTTGGTTAACTAACACATATTAACTTTATCCAACTATTTTTTTCTCGGCAAATTATGATTTATTTTTTGAATCACAAAGCTCCTAAACCTAATTTGTGGGCCTCGTTAAAAACCTCCTTAATCCTATTTGGAGGAAAAGAGTGCCCACTAGCAGGAAAAAGAACTATACAGGCATCTTACATACAAAAGCGTAGCCCCTACAAGGTAGAAACCTTGTTTCCTTACTACCAAGATCGGAGTATTCATTTCGACTTAAAACTCCCTTAGCGAGACAGCCCATCTTAATATTTCTTTCCCTTGAGGCAAAGACGAACTACACCTTTCTAAAAAAGCATACCATTTGATCGAACTCCTCAAGGATAACTCACCATTACCAAGGGACATACCTCAAAATTCCAGGAGTTAAACCAGGACACACTCCACCACCTACAAAACAATCCAAAAGAATATAGCAAATCTGCATGTAACAAAAAGCGTTCAAAGCTGTCACCCACAATCCCACACCACGAGCTTTTGCTTTGAAAATCCGACGAGATTACCCCACGGGTTCTAACAAATTCTTTGGTATGCACCTTAATTAATTTCAGCAGCCAAAGAAATACAAATAATTTCTTAACTTTGAAAAATTCCCACCGCTCTCGAGAAATCAAAAATGCGATCTGGTAAACCCCCCTCTGAAAGATGGTTTTCCAGCAAATATATGACTTCACAAATCCAGGATAGATCTTTCAAACATGTCACTCAATCATTGCTCTTCCAATCTCTTTTTCCAGTTACCTCTGCAATCGATCTTAAATCCCTGCCACGATACTTATAGCCTTCGACATTCTTGCCTCAATGCTTTTATTCCACACCAACAATTTCACCACTTCACTGTAAACAATCGTTTATCACTTCACTGCAACCCAAATTGCTAATAATTCCTCTCCAAGTGGTGGATACATTTCTTGAAAACATAAGTGTTCCATTCCACTATATAATAATTCCTCCTCCCATGAATCATATACTTTGAATAGCTCTCCGAATCTTTTAGTAAGGCAATATCCCGAATCACATCTTCTTCTGGCCCTTGAAATTGAATACCCAAAATTTTATCCACTTAATTTTAAGATGAAGTTATACCAGGTAATTCCTTCATATATTAATAGTAGAAAAAATTATTTTTATAAATATATAATGTTATTTAACATATTTAATTATTATAAATTTAAATAAAATATATGACAATATAAAAAAATTTACTCTCAGAAATTATCTTTGCAACATAATTTTAACAAACAAACAAAAAGTAGTACAATTTTAAAGAAATCGCTTAATTTTCTTACTCTCAGAAATTTTATTTCTAATTTTAAAATACTTTGTATTAGTTTTTACTCAGTTCCTGAAGCATCCTTTTTTTTAAGCGGAGTATTGTGTTAATTTGTTATCCACATGTTAGAAACAATGGCATTTGACTTTTCTATTGCATAACACCAAAATCGCAAAGAAAAAGAGTATTAGGGTTTTAGAAACATGTAAGAGCATAAGGATCATACTTGTAAAGATTTGGGTGGTAATGGTTTCTTGTAGATTTTCCTTTACAAGCAAAATTCAATCAGCTCTTCGTCTTTTGGCTTGAACTTATAACGTGGAGGTAATGATCTAAGAATATCTTCCTCCATTTGAATTTCAGTACTAAGAGAAAATA